AGTGAAGATGCCCTCACCCCCCTTGGGGAAGAAAGGAGGATCTTTGTAAAATGCAGATTCAGATTCATTGAGTCCAAGAATGAACCTGAGAGTTTTGCATTTCTGACAAGCTCCCGGCTGATACCTGTGCTGGGTCTGTGGATCACGCTCTGAGTAAGTAGCAAGGCTGTAGTTTGGGCCATCTCTGGATCGATCTTCTCTGCACCCATCGCGGATGACTAAACCACTTGCAGAGTGAAGCCGTGGGACAGCAGTGCATGGCAGGTGTCCCTCAGATCTCTGTGCTTCCAAATCTGAACTCAGGGTATTCTCTCCAAAACCTCATCCCCCTGATTATTCTCTCTTATTCAATTATCGACACCTCTGTCCTTCCAATTTCTCAAACAAGAAACCTGAACACCAACCCCTCCCCCTTAACTGTCCCAGTACTTCTATTTCCTAAATATTTATTGCACTGTGTCCTGCTCTCTCTGCCACTGCATCCAGTGGGGCCTTCCCAGTTCATGGCTCCTTAACTGTACACCATCGTCCTCACTAGCTCTGGGTCTGAGACTTGTCTCTGCGGGAATGCTTGTTAAATACAAACGTGACCATGTTAATTAATCTCCTGCCTAAAACACTCTCACAATTCTTCATTACTTAAAATAATGGGGCTCATTGCAATGACATTTCAAAGTCCTTCTTGATATGACTTCTGGTCCATTTTAGAAATTTCATCTCCCACAGACCCACACTGCTCTGGTCCTGTTGACTTCTTTTCTAACTTAGAAAAGTTGACTTTTTTTCTAACTGGGTGTCCATTTTCTCTGTCTGAAACTCCCAGTCCTATTAGTTTGCCTGGAGAACTGTTCATTCTGTAAGACACAGCTGGTGTCCAGGGAAACCTGCATTGCTCTTCCCAGGCAGAGTTAATTCTCTTTCCTATTAGTGTTTTTCTTTTTCTTTTTTTTTCTTTTTTATCCTTATCAGTGTCCTGACTACAGTGATCCCTTGTTAACCAGCAGTTTTCCTCATGTGAAATTTTAGCATATTGGGCTTTCCCTCCACGTATGTTTTTGATGACCACAGGGTTTTCATTTGTGCATTGTGTTGGGAATTACTAAGAAGGGTGGGGACTGAGGATTCAGAATAGAAGAAGGGGGTGAAGCAGATGACCCACAGAAGGAACAAAGGTTGTACATCTTGGAGAAGTTAAAGGAGGAAGAAAGGAAAAGACAGTTCTGAGTCTTACAACTGGATTCTGGCGGTTCCGTCAGGGGAGAAAGAGGGAGAAGAGGGAGGTGAGACTTCTGTAAGAATTGCTGTGGAGCCCTAGGGAGAGGTAGGGAAGCCAGACCGCGAGGCAGGTTTGAGAGGGGTGTGGATTAGCTGCACGCCACACAGCATGCTACACTCCTAACTCCATAGACTGCACTCGAGGTCACCGACGCGTGTCTCTGTTCTGGAATCCTCTTCCAAAAGAGGAGGGATGAGACCCCACTGACTTTCCTTGTACCCAAGATTTTAAAATCGACTGTGAATTCTTCTATCACTTCTTATTTTAACGAACCCAAACCCAAGTGGTGGGAGAGGAAGGAGAGGTATTATTATATTTATTTACATGGCGATAGCGCTTTCTATTTAGTGGAGAAGTATTTATGTGCCAAGAGACTGAATGTGCTAAACATTTTATACACCTCCAGTGCTATGATGATTATCTTTCTCCTGATGAAGAAACGGGGCCACATGGTTAGGAAGCAATGGAGCCCTTGAACCCAGATGAGTGAGCTTCAGACCCCATGTTCATAATCCTCCAACCACATGGTGTCCCCCTAGATATGACTGTGAAGGGAAGAATCCACAATGTATTTCATTTGTTTTCCTGTCGTTTTTATAGTGTGGCTAATACGTAAAGGGCACATTAGGCTTTGTGGAATGCATTGTGGATTAGGGAGGAAATGGGAGGTTTGCTAGTCAATGAAAGACAGGGTTTCAGGTCCATAGAAAGTTTACCTTGGGGGAGGGAAGAGGGGTGATTATTCACCTTCTGAGTCTGAAGGTCTTGGATTCTAATATTATTTTAATTTCTCTTTCCTGAAGAAATTCCAAATAAGGCAAGTAAATAGAATGCATGCGAATGCTGTGGAAACAGCAATTGATTTTTATATTTTTATATTGCTTCCCCAAGTCATCATATGCAGATGGTCTGACTTGTCTACTGATCTCAGCTATAGCTGAGTAGGTGAGCTGGACGTAAAATTCCCCCTCACCAAGTCACTCAGAGCTTGTGAGGATATTTCTTTCTTGTTTTGTTTCTGTTTTTGTTGTGTGTGTGTGTTTTCCTATAGTGAGAGACGATTAGGATTGTATACCCAGATTGGGAGCAAAGAAATTATCTTTACTCTGTTTTGTTTTTTTTTTTTTTTTTAATTTTTTTTTCAACGTTTATTTATTTTTGGGACAGAGAGAGACAGAGCATGAACAGGGGAGGGGCAGAGAGAGAGGGAGACACAGAATCGGAAACAGGCTCCAGGCTCTGAGCCATCAGCCCAGAGCCTGACGCAGGGCTCGAACTCCGGACCGCGAGATCGTGACCTGGCTGAAGTCGGACGCTTAACCGACTGCGCCACCCAGGCGCCCCTACTCTGTTTAATAATAAGCACATTAGTACCCCAGGAAAATCCTATAAAACAGGAAGTTCTTATCGAGATCATGCTGCAGACCTTTTCGATTGCAAGAAAAGATTTGCCGAGTACAATGATCTTCAGGAAAATACAATCGTGAAAATAGTTATGTTCATAGCTCAGTGGAACAGAAATGTCCTTTGTGTTGGAAGATTGGAACCCGTCTTATTTCGTCTGGTTCTAAGTTGACAAATATTTCACCAGGTCAAGCTTTCCCCCTACCCCTACCCCCAAGTTGTGAAGGTTTTAAACAAAATTGGAACAAATGTAACTTTAAAAGAACGTATTCAACTGGAGATACCATTTATTGTATTATGTCCCTCGCTTAAAACAAACAAAATAACAAGAAAACTCATTGCATGACCTCAGTACCCCTCTCAAGTAAACATCTTGCCAGTTAGTTTTTGTGGCTATGTTTGAATAGAACAGGTGTGAAGCAGTGTTACATTTCTTCATAGTATCAAGTATACCGCTTTCTTTAAGGGGATAATTTTATGTAGATACTATCTAAAATTTCAGATGGCACCCCCAAGTTTTTCACAGACTCTTTTTCTAAATTTTTGAAAACAATGAGCTGACATGAAAAGCAGACTTTTATTTCTCCTATAGCAACAGATTCCCATTCAATCTTTCTAATTCTGGTTACAATTTTTTTTGAGTTTATTTATTTATTTTGAGGGAGGGAGAGAGAGGGGAGGAGACGGAGGGGGGTGGAGAGAGAGAGAGAATATGAGTGGAGGAGGGGCAGAGAGAGAGAGAGAGAGAGAAAGAGAGTCTCAAGCCGGCTCTGCACCATCAGCACAGAGCCAGATGTGGGGCTTGAACCGATGAACTGTGAGATCATGACCTGAGGTGAAATCAAGAGCCAGATGCTTAATCAACTGAGCCACCCAGGCACCCCTGGTTTTAATTCTTTTTAAGTGTAAAATATACATAACATAAAATTTATCATTTTAATCATTTTTAAAGTTCAGTGGCATTACATACATTCTCATTGTTGGGCAATGGTCACCTGCATCCATCTCCAGAACCTTCTTTCATCTTTCCAAAGTGAAACTCTGTACCCATTAAACAATAACTCCCCATTTCCCTCCCCCGGCCCCAGGGAACCACTGTGCTACATTCTGTCTCTATGCATTTGACTACTTGAGGTTCTTTGTGGCAATGGAATCATACAGTATTTGTCCTTTTGTGTCTGGCTTATTTCACTTAGCATGATGTCCTCAAGGTTCACCCACGTTGTAGTGGGTGTTCATTTGGGTTGCTTCCATATTTTGGCCATTGTGAGTAAACTGCTACAAACATGGGTGTACAAATATCTCTTTGAGTCTCTCTCTCTTTTTTTTTTTTTTTCAGTTATTTTGGGTATATACCCAGATGTGGAATTGTTAGATCACGAGGTAATTCTGTTTAATTTTTTCAGGAATTGCCACACTGTTTTGTAGTGATTGCACCATTTTACATCCTCACGAAGAGCACACAAGGGCTCAGCTTTCTCCACATCCTCACCAAGACTTTTGTTTTCTTTTGTTTGTTTGTTTGTTTGTTTGTTTGTTTGTTTGTCTTGGTAGTAGCCATCGTAATGGCTGTGAAGTAGGGTCTCCTTGTGGGTTTGATTTACATTTCCCTAATGAATAGTGATGTTGGTGGTCTTTTCATGTGCTCTTAGGCAATTTGTACATCTTCCTCCGAGAAATGCCTATTTTCTTTACCCATTTCAAAACTAGGCTATTTTTTGTTTTTGTTAAGTTATGGGAACTCTTTATGCATTCTGGATATTAGCCTCTTATCATATATATAACTAGTAAATTTTTTTCCCATTCTGTGAGTTGCCTTTTCACTGTGTTGATGGTGTCCCTTGGGAAACAAAAGTTTTTTTGTTTTTGTTTTTTTTTCATTTTGAAGCATCCAACTTATCAATTTTTTGTTGTTGTTGTTGCCTTTGCTTTTGGTGTCATATCCAAAAAAAATCAGTGCCAAGTCAAATGTCGTGAAGCTTTCCCCCTTTATTTTCTTCTAAGAGTGTTAGCTCCTGTATTTAGGGATTTGATTAATTTTGAGTCAGTTTTTGTATATGGTGTAAAGTATGGTCCAACCTCATTTTTTTTTGCATGTGGATATCCAGTTGTTTTAGTATCATTTGCTGAAAGGGTGTCTACTTTGTTTTAATGTGTATTAAAGGTAGCTGCTTCTGAAGCAAGGATTGTTTTAGTGGATGTTTCCAAAGCAGTTCGTTACTGTCTCAAAGGTCACACAGATAATGATTAAATTGTGCATCACTTAAAGGTAGATTTTGACCTCTCACAAGTTGAAGAGTACTGAAGATCTAAGATCATTTACCTCCCTCGGGAAGGAAAAGTAACACAGCCTTCCAGGGCAAAGAAGAGAGGACTGAAAGTTGTAGGATATTCCACAGGCCAAAGTACATCTGCCTGGTTTGCTTTCTCTAAAATCCCACACTTGGCTGGACTGGCTTCCTTCTTACCTGACAACCTAGGAGGGTTGGTGAGGAATATGTCCTCACCTTTTCTATGGAGTTTGGTTATTTTGGTGACATTTGCTGAATCAAATGGGGAAGTTGGAGAGCTCGTGCTGCAGAGACAGAAAAGAAATACTGACCTCCAACAGTAAGTAGACACGTGCATCATTGCTGCTGAGGGTGTAGGGCAGTGGGGTCATTAGTTTCGACAAATAGCCAGATAAGCAAAGGTATAATTTTTCTTGAGGAAAACAATGATGTTAAAAGCAAATAGGGAAGAACATTGAGACTGATGTATGGGATTATCTTCTTGTATGTAAATTATTCACTTACCATTTTGCAAACAAGGCAAGTATGCAATTAGTAGATGTCTCTAGGAAATTTGCAGGGAAAAAAATGGCAGATGAGCAGGGAGAATGTGGTTGAGTTGACCACATGGCAAATGTGTATACAGTCTATGTATATTCAGTGAGAAACTTTGTTGTTTAAAATTATATGCTAATTATTGATGCATTCTCTGGTTTGATTTATATAGGCCTCGAATGGCTGCAGAGAAGGGAAATCTAGTGTTTCTTACAGGGTCTGCTCAAAACATTGAATTTCGAACTGGATCCCTGGGAAAAATTAAATTAAATGATGAAGACCTCGGCCAATGTTTACATCAGGTAATGCAATGGAAATATATTGAAGTAATTTTGTATATCTGCATATGGTCACTTAATTCAAGAGGTCTATATGAATCCATACCTTAAATCTTTAGCCCAGGGAACATAACCAGAGGTGAGATAAGTCCTAGTGAAGAAACAATGCCCTAGGGTTAATGATGAGCAGGAGTAATTCTAGTAGGAAGTGGCTCATTGTGTGGGTTTCTGTCCTCTAATCCAGAGAAGGTACACAGGGTGGTCCAGGGGACTCCTTCTCATGAGGATCAAGGAAGGAGAGGGGCCAGAGAAAGGTTTGGATGTGACATTTTACTTCTGCCAGAGAACAGAATTGGTCAATTATTCTCTTGCCTTACTGAGTGTTTTCAGTGTTCATTGCTTAGTCATTCATGCTGGTATATCCTTTGTAATGTTGAAAGCTGACATTATTTAGAGCTTTCTATGGGCTATCCATTGTGCTCAGCACTGGTGTGCATTACCTCCTCCAACCCCCACCACTACCCTACGAGTTTGGCTTTATTATTTAAAAATTTTTCTTTTAATGTTTATTTATTTTTGAGAGAGAGAAAGACAAAGAGTATGAGCAGGGGAGGGGCAGAGAGAGAGGGAGACACAGAATCTTTAGCAGGCTCCAGGCTCTGAGCTGTCAACCCAGAGCCTGATGCGGGGCTCAAACCCACGAACCATGAGATCATGACTTGAGCCAAAGTCGGACTCTTAATCAACTGAGCCACCCAGGAGACCCCAGCTTTATTATCACCCCATTTGTAAGGGAGGTAAAGGAAACTTTCAGCAGCACAGCAACTTGCCCAAGGACACCCAGTAAATGACTGAGTCAAGATTTCAAACGCAAGCAGTCTGATTCCACGCCAGGCCTCTTAACAAGCACTCCAAATTGTTATGAGAAAAAATGCAAATGGAAAGTACCTTGATAATGTTGTTCCTGAAAGGGGTAAATGGAATTATGCCATGGCTATTTTAGTCTGGAATTTATTATACATGGCATTGTTTTGAATTTTATAATGATGGGCAAGATCTTAGTGTTTAAAATAGAACGGTACTCAAATTTTAAAAATTTTGTATCTGTAACATACGCATGATCTTTTCGCTAGAAAGCATTCTCCTCCTCCTTTTTCTTTTTAAAATTAGATCCAGAAAAACAAAGATGATATTACAAGTTTAAAAAGGAGTGCTGTCAGTCTGCCTCAGAATATCTCCAGTCAAATCCATCAGCTTAATTCTAAGGTAAGTCTGACATCTACATCATTAGAGTAAATAGCTCTCCTTCATTCAACTTTGTGAGCATCCATTTCTGCAGGCAATATACCAACTTTGGGTCCTCTTTAGAAATTTAGCATTGTGATGATGAACTTTCTGGTTAAATGACACAGCTCTAACAGGGCACGTAGAGGTAGCGATGGGCAGAAGGTTGACAATGCTGTGACAAGAACTTGTCGCATATGTAAGTCTTGCTCCCGCTCTGATAGAAGCTTCTTATTGGTGAAGTGGATGAATCACTGTCGTTTATGAAAATCCCATAACTGTGTGCAGAGGAGCAATGAATCAACTCATCAGTGGGTTGTACTTTTTTTTTTTTTTTTTAATGCCTTAAAAAAAACAATGTATATGATAGAAGGGAGTAGAAAGGAGGGAAGCCTGGAGGAGAGAGGGATGGGGAGGGAAAAAGCAATAAAAAAGGAGCAGACAGACCAAGCGAGCCCCCAGCAGAGGGTGTTAGGAAAATAGGCCAGGGGACAGTAGCACATGTGAAATGCTAACCGATGCTTTCTCTTCCTCACCGCTTAGCTTGCGGATCTGGAGAGAAAATTTCAAAGCCTACAGCAGGTAAGTCCCATAACTACCACTTGGCTGACATCTTTCACTGGAAATGTGCTGGTACCACTGATGGAGCTACATTCTCACCTGAGGGTAGATGGGTGATCCGTATCAAGGACTTGGCTCTTTCCCGTGATCCAATTCTTATCGCCGTTTATGCCGCCCAGGACATAGATGAGGAACCCAAGCGTCACATCAAGTGACGGGCCCCGGGTACCTGGGCATGTGAAGCATGTGAGCATGTGAAACCTTCTGAGTTCAGCATTTCACGTGCTCTGCCTCTTAACGTTGTCATTCTTTGACCATGTTATGTGGGCGTAAGTGTGACCACCCAACTTGCTGATGTGTCGAAAGGCTGTGCATCTTCTCCAACATTAAACTCAGAGGCTTGGGGTGTATCAACAAAATAGTTCAAACTTTCTTACAGGTACATTTGCTGGTAATTAAATTTGAGCAGTTTCTTCGAGCAACCCTTCCATGACTTCACTAGTACATGTTTGTAAACTAGTCCTTGTAATTTTAGACTTCTCACCTGTTCTGAAGTTGGCTGGTGTTTTTAAGATTTTCATAGGAGCTACAACCTTCTACCCAGAGAAATGCACAGAACGTCCCCATATTAAAATTTTTGAATAAAAGTAAAGACATTCCAGGGGTGCCAGGTGGCTCAGTCGGTTAAGCATCCGACTTTGGCTTAGGTCATGAGCTCATGGTTCGTGGGTTCGAGCCTGGCATCGGACTCTGTGCTGATAGCTTGGAGTCCGGAACCTGCTTCAGATTCTGTGTCTCCCTCTCTCTCTGCCCCTCCCCACTGTGTTCTGTCTCTCTCTCTCTCTCTCAAAAATAAATAAAATGTTAAAAAAAATTTTAAATAAAAATAAAGTAAGGAGATTCCAGGTTAAGAATCCCTGTTCTAATATTCTGGGTCTGTTGTGATGATGCTTCAAGTGCTGCCCTCTACTTTGGTGTTTTAAATTTGGCAGGCAAGTTCATGTATGTATTCTCTTCCTGATCTTGATAATCAATTGCCCCTCCACCTTTATCTTCTTAGGGAGTAGTTGAATGAATGAAACAAGCAAGGAATCATACCTGTCCAGAAGACACAGTGCTAGAGTTTCCAGTCTCCTAGAGTGCTTCATTATTCCTGTGAAAGGTCAAGAGCTGGAGGCCATGGTCAAATTACTTCAGACTGTGTCCCTTTCCCCACCCCCCAGGAGGAATTTTTAAATGATTTTTGGATATAAATGCCTTTTATGCATTCCATTAGGTCAACGCTCTCTGGGTACAATAGTTAGCCATCGTTCCCCATTGTCTTCCTCCTGGCTGCTTACTGATTCCATTTCCTGCTGGGCCCCCATAGGCTTTTGAGTTTTAAAGCCCCAGACAACGTTGCTTTTGTATGTCAGAAAACTTCTAATGAGTTGTGGTTAATTTCCTTAAGAGTGTCCTCTAACAAACAGGGCTAATTGTGGTACTGGCACAAAGATAGATGGACTAATGAAAGAAAACAGACTCCAGAAAGAGACCCCCACATGCATGGTCACCTGACTTTTGACAAAGGAAGAGAGAGATGGTTTGGCTATAAATGGTGCTTAGTCAGTGGGCAACCCTCTGGCTCTCAGTTTCATCTGTAACATGAGGGGAACAGACATGACTTTCTCTGTGAGTCACTGAATAAAAAAAGAACATAGTAATTACTTTGCCCCTGTTTAAAAATTTTAATTTTTAAAAATTTATTTTTTCGCCCCATTTTTAGAGAATTAGACTATGATTAGGCGAAGTTAATAAAATAGGTTTTCTCGCACAATCGCATGTCCTCTCTAAAGAAGTTTTCTTTCCCCCCAGAGGTATTACAAAGTTTATGAGATTGGAACTGGTAGCTGACATATGGGAAGATTCTCCAGGTCATATAGACAAAGGCAGGTCTGTTTGTGACTCTGGTCTGAAAGTCATCACGTGAGCATAGGAGTGGGGGGTGTATATAAGCCCGCATTTCAAATAAAGGGACTCAGGGTGAGAAGAGTTCAGCCATCTTTACCCATGGGAGGATGGGTGACAGCAAAAGATGATCAGATTTCACATGCTTATCTGGAGGTACCAAAGATAAGAATAACAAAAAAAGAACCGGAATTTCCATTTGGTTTTCTTGGCACAATAGGAATGTCCATTATTATTCCCAGTCTGAAATCTTGACTCTTGTCCACCAACGTATGTTTCCCAGGTGAACAATGCTTTTCCAAAGAGTAGAGCGAGCATCTTCTCCCCTCGTGCCTCATCCCATCCCTGGCTAAATGCTTCTAAATAGCGAAGGAACATGCATAGACTGAAAATGTGAAACACTTTGTTGTTGCTGTTGTTTTTCATGAGAGAGTTGATTTGGAGAAGAACTTGGGTAATTGCTTTAAAGTATGGAGGCTGAGTCTCCCTGGAGGAGGAGTGGAGTGTGCTTTACACGCGCACCTGCCCTGAAACATGCCTTTCTTTGCTGCCTGCTGAGAGTACGATGGTCTCGCTGACTGCCCTGTCTTTGTTTCAGACGGTCGACAAAAAGGTCTGCAGCAGCAACCCCTGCCAAAATGGTGGGACCTGCCTCAATCTTCACAATTCCTTTGTTTGCATCTGCACCTCACAGTGGGAGGTGAGTCGCTCCATCTTTGGTTGAAAATGCTGGTGAGTCAGCATCAGTGGTTTCTTTGGAAGCATTCAGACATGTTTCATTCTCCATCCGAAGTTTCTAGGATTCTGTGGTCTCCTGAATCAAATGACTTACACCAAGAATGCCAAAATCCAAACGGTGGTGAGCATGATTATATAACCCACTGAACATTAAGCCGTCTTAAGGAGGGCATCACTTGGCTGCATAGCTACATGGGAGGGCGTGATATATTGGCTAGCATCAATTTAAATTGTTCAGCACTGAAAGTACTAAATGAATCTTTAAAAAAATTGTTTCTTGAGAGAGAGAGAGAGAGTGCATGCATGCGTGCTCAAGCTCGTAAGCAGAGAGGGGCAGGAGAGAGGGGGACAGAGGATCCAAAGCCAGCTCGGTGATGACAGCAGAGACCCTGAACTAGGGGCTCAAACTCAGGAACCATGAGATCATGACCTGAGCTGAAGTCCGATGCTCAACCAACTGAGCCACCCAGGTGCCCCAGTACTAAGTGAATCTTGACATAGCTGTGTAAATATTCTTGTCTTTTTCTATTAATGGTGAAAATGTTCCTGACATGTGCATTAAAAAAAAATTAAGTGAATATTTCCAGGCATAGCTTATAGTCACATGAGGATTACTTTGTATAAGGATTTGCCTAAGTTTTTTTCTATGTTTATTTATTTTTGAGAGAGAGAGAAAGAGACAGAGAGAGAGCGAGAGGGAGAGAGAGAGAGCATGGGCACATGTCGGGGAGGGGCAGAGAGAGAGGGAGACACAGAATCGAAAGCAGGCTTCAGGCTCTGAGCTGTCAGCACAGAGCCCAACGCGGGGCTCAGTGTGGGGCTTGCACACACAAACTGCAAGACCCTGACCTGAGCCGAAGTCGGGCACTTAACCAACTGAGCCACCCAGGCCCCCGTAAAAGGATTCTTCTTGTGCGACGGGCGTGATTTTACCAAGAGCTCTTTGGCTCCCTTAGGCCAAATCTGAGTTCAAGAGGAAGGATCACTGGATATTAACTAGTATTAGTATTAGCGTGATTGTATTTCGCTTGACTGAGGACTTCGGTGGATATATAAATCCTTAAACATATCGTATGAATATTGGCCCCAGATGCTTCTGTGACCCATGGCAGCTGACTTCATTCTTTACATGAATGCAGGGTCCTCTGTGCTCAGTTGATGTGAACGAATGTGAGATTTACTCAGAAACACCCTTGGGCTGCCAGAATGGATCCACGTGTGTAAATACAGCAGGCAGTTACAGGTAATATTTTTCTTTTCTTTCCTTCCTTCCTTCCTTCCTTCCTTCCTTCCTTCCTTCCTTCCTTCC